TATCATCTTAACACTGACACTAAGGTAGCCCATGGATAGTTCGGGTTGAAAAGCTAAAATCACAGGCAATGATTGAGGATAAGTTTGGCTGGAATGATGCATCAGACAGATTTCATTTTACAGATCTGCAACAGACACAAAGTGCCAAAACTGAACGCCTGTCCTTACCTTGAGGCAACTGTGATGCACATTTTTACCAGGCACTGAGAGGCTTCATCTAATTAAAATCTGAAGAGATGTTATCAACCAAATGATCCATAAAGAGGGAACACACTGATTCAGCTTTGGCTGCTCTAATTGACCAGCTGTTACATTTAGAGTTACTTTTTATGGTCTATGTCTTTATATACAAATCTGTTGAGGTCAGAAGCTGATTTATGAAGGGTAAAACCAGGATATCTGGGTAAAAAAAGAGGTTTTTTCAACAGTAAAACACACTTGGGTATGAGTACTGAAAAAAAAATCTGAGAAAAGTACCCCTTTGACCAGATCTCTGCTGGAAATGTTTCTGATAGTTTTTGCATTTTCACTATATCAATCCATTATTTATTATCTTGACTTTTAAAAATGATTAATAATCATGTTATTCCATTATTAGAAGCAATTTGTGCACTATTTTATGTAAAAAAATTAATAAATAAAAATCTTATACAAACAGAATCTTTTGTCAACTTTTAAACCTTCAAAGATCAATTTATGCTGATCCTTCCCCCTCAGTTAATTAACCTATAGTTACAGACTGTGGGGTCCAAGACTGCCCACTTCTTGTTCAGCCAAATGTACCCAAGGACAAAGTTATACTGTAAACATAGACTCATCTATGTATGGAGAGTCCTTTATTCACTAGCTGGAGTGTACAGAGTGCTGTACAATTACAGCAGTGACATTTTGTGCTACCAGTATTAGTATGCTATTTAGCATGATGACCTACCCACCCCCACCCCCTCTTCACAGTCACAGATCTGAGCATGATGACCCCCCCCCCCCCCTTCACAATCAGGTGGTGGCTCATCTCTGCCTGACTGAGTTGACCTTGCCATGCCATGTTTTCAACATAAGGTCAATCAGGCATAAAGTGCAGCAGTTTCTGCCTCCCTACCCTGGAGTGTCAGGAACTAGTTTAGTGGCCTGTTGCCATGGTGACAGATACTTACATGTGCAATTATGCTGCGCTATTGTCATGATATGAAGTGCAGGAGTTTAGCTATAAGACTTCCTTGACACCTGCACAGCTCATTGGGGGTGAGACAGAGAGAAACAGTTATACAGGTAAACCCTGTATAGGAGCCTCTCACCTTGTCACCTTGTCTTTCATGGAGTTGCTTGGAGTTGAGAATAAACAGACTTGTCCTGACATGCTGAGTGAGTTGATGTAAATGTACGGCTGCTTTACAGAGGATGGATGGATGGTACTCAAAGAGTTTATTTAGTACCCTGATAATCAGGGACCATCCATTGTGGTCAAAACAATGTGGTCTTTGTCAAGTGCATTGACTGTACAGTCAGTGAAACAGAACGGCAGTGTCCTGTTTATGAGGGTTCGCACATTAAGCTTGATATAATTTGTTGCCCAAGCACATTTTGGTATTTTGGTGAGCAGCGCAGCCCGGCGTAAATACCCCGCCCACTAATTCAGCTCCTCCCAGCGGCGTAAGTCATAGAGAGGGAGGGGATTAGGCATGGAGTGGTTTTAACATAGCTGAGACCTGTTTTCGCCAATCATATCAGCTCCTCTTTACCTTGGCGTATTACAATTTTTGTGAAGTTGTCAAAGAGATCAAGAGATGGCTGAAGACAGCAATGCCACACGATGGTGACAGAAGGCAGCCACCCTCCGCTGCACCGCTGGCCGGCACGAAATTAGAGCCCATTATAATGAGAAATGTGATGGAGGGGTAGGAAACCCCTCCAGAGGGGTTTAATCTGGGCACTATCCAGTTCATAAGTACCTTTCTCTTGACCTGCTGCTCAGATCTCTATTTCAGAAATCCCACTTGATTAGCTGCAAGGACCCCAGAGATAAGCAGAGCATCTTTGTGCTTAACCCAGTCCAATTCAAATAAAGAAACTCTGTGCTGGCTCTGTGCATGTGACATCAAAATGAATACATATTTTAAAGCACTTGAACTGTTATCAAACTCTAGGGGCATTTGCACTAATTTGACTCAGCTGTGCATGCATTCTGGGCAAAATTAGCCCTGTCCAGGTGAGCACCATTGTGGAAAACAGCCACTTAAAAAACACCAGTACTAGCAGCCCTACACAGAGTAATGAAATCATTTTCATCCCCGGAGAATGGGCTTTAACAGTGAAATAACAATTTAACATCATAACTGTGGTGATTTACCACAATGTATACATGCAGTCTAAGTGGGGATGATATTATGAGGATATCATTATTCTCTGAATGAGCCACAGAGGGAAGCAGTGAAGCAGTGTAATTAAAACTGAGGAGTCACATCATTTTGAACTGGAAAATGTGCTGTCTCCCCCGTTAACAGTTCATCATCTTCATGTAGGTAAAATTAAACTCTGTCAGCATGAGCATGAAGCTCTCACGACAGCACAGATTGGAGGTGTCGACAGCTCCTTTGCACAACCAGACCTATAGCAGCAGAAGTACTGCGCCACATAATTTTATGGGTCTGTTTGGACTCAAAAATCATTCACTTGTCAAGCATTGAAAACTGGGAAAATGGAACTTGAGATGGAGAGGATAGCAGAAGGCAGCAGTGATATGCAGTTTTTGATGATGTTGGTTGATGCAATTTGTTGTCAGAGACAACAGAGCATGGCGTTGGTGCAGTTGAATGACACCATGTTGGATAATATAAAATCTGGTTTGAGGTAGGTCAGGTAAAAAGAGACATGAATGGGGAGGAGAATGCCAGGATATATGCATAAAGTGTTTGAGTACTAAAAGAGTTAGGGCTCTATTTTCATGCCCACCGGCGCAGGTGGTCATTATTATTATTATTATTATTATTATTATTATTATTATTATGAACAATAATAGTAATAATAATGAAAACAATAATATTAAATAATAATAATGACAATGATAACGTAAATTTTGATAATAATGATAACTTTGAAAATACTGATAATAATGTATGACAATTACAAATATAATAATAATGATAACAACAATTATAATGATAATAATTATAATAATAACTGTTAATTATTATCATTCCTTCCCTCCTGACACACCTCGACAAATGCAAAGAAAAGAGGAAATAAGGCTTTCAGGAACATCGTGCACCTTTTCCCCTGCATTACATGAAGCAACATCATTTTTAATGATGATTGTTAATTTAAATTGAGCTCATGGTAATAAGTGAGACAGGTTGTATTTGTATATGATCGGCTTTGAGGGTACTGTTATTTACACAGAAAGAGCAGGGACCAGTGAACTCCAAGAATGATCCCTCAAAAATAAATTACGTCACCTTGTTAGCTAACTAGCTTTAAAACAAGGATTTCTATCAAAGAGTTCTGTTTTAAATCTGCAAGTTTGGTAGAGATGACCACGGCTGCTATGAGGGAGGAGAGGGATCCTTTTCTGCATCAACAGCATTGACTCAAAAGTGCATGATCGTATGAAGTCTGACTGGTATAACTGGTGTAAAATGTTGTATCTGGTTTTGTTGTCAAAACAGGTTAAAAGTGATTGGAGTCAGAAAACTGAAGGCAGAAGCAGCAAAGGTTTATTCTCTTGGAGCAGATAAATACAGATCCACATAAACCAGGAGGGAAACGAGGTCCTGACAGCAGATAAAAAGTTAGCACGAATGCTTCTTGGTGACCTACAACAGCAAACCAAACACATCACTAATATAGAGGCTTTAACACGCAATAGATGGACTGTTATAGCTGTAGTCACACAGTATTACATTGAACCTGTACCCTTATTTATGTATTGTTCAATTCTGATGGATCACAGTTTGTTTGACTGCAAAATTTCTAAATTAGTGTTATTTTAAAAGAGCACTTTCAGTCAGACAAAGAAATCATTTTTATCAACACACAGACTGCTGAAGAGCAAAACAGCTGAGCACGGTACTCAAGTACTTTTTGAGGTGTTTGAATTTAACTCCAGTATTTCTATTGTCTGCTGTTTAACACCTCTACTCCACAACTCAGAAGAATTAGCTAGTCTGAAGAAGTTTACATGATACCATAAACAAGTTTTACATTTTAGGAGGATAGGGTACAATGATAGGAAAACGAGGAAGAAATGAATCCTTATCAAAATATAAAAGACACCCAGCTGTAAAATAAAATATTTCACTGCCACACCATTCAAGAAAGTAAAATTACAACCCCAACTCCAAAAATGTCCTGACTCTGTGTTTGGGTGATACAAAGATAATTTGGTGGTTTGCAAATCCTTTTAACATTCTATTTAGTCTAAATAAACACAAAATCCAAGGCATCAAAACTGGAAAATGTTATTTTTTATGACAAATCTATGTGTTAATTTTTAAGCTGTTGCCAGTAACATGTTTCAGACAGAACAGTTCCTCAGCAGGACTCTTCTCCTACAAAGCCATGCTGTTGTAATCCCTGTTGTCAGAATGTGGTTTGGGATCATATGAAAGTCTTTCCTGAAAAAGTATTTTTCTGGATGGCAGCAGATGCTGATCCTAAACCTGTAGATACTGTTCAGCATTAATGTTTTTAAGAGGAGAGACTCAGCCTCTCTGAATTTCCTCTTTAGACCCAGCCATGTGGCTAACCTGCTGGAGATGTTTCACCAGCTGTTTTTTTTTTTAGGTATGACAACTTTTGACCTGTTTGGTTGTTCCTCTATATGAAATTTTGACCTGTTTGGTTGTTCCTCTATAAGAACTTTTAACATGTTTGATTGTTCCTCTATTAGAACTTTTTCCTGTTTGGATGTTCCTCTCTTATTAAATTGAGACTTTCGATGATTTGCACAAAATGTTGGAAGCATTGGAATTGTAGTTGTTAATGTTTTCAGAGGTGAATTCAGCTTAAGCTCCACTTCCACCATCAGTGGTTGTTGTTTCTGGATTGTTGTTTTTCACTTTGCGACAGCACACTAAGTCTGTAAGCTTGGATATGGTCCCTTTCCTAATGAAAACATACAGAACTAAGTCAGCGATAACACTCACCCTCATACATATGTGATACATTCTCCACAGATTTAAATTCCGTAACACAGATCTCGACACCGCCCCTACCAGGATAAGAATTACAGCAGGCAGGAACAGCAGCGTATAAATGACCAGCACCAAGATTAAAACTCCTGCAATTCTTTGTTTCTCATTCACAGGGACTGAGATGGAGCGAGATAGGGCTCTGAGGGTCCTGACCAGGAAGAATATGAGCAGCGGGAAGGGCAGGAGGAAGCTGCCAACGATGGTGCCATATGAGAAGTGAAGAGCGATAGAAACGGCCCAGATCACGACACAGACCACCACAGTGGTCTTGATGGATCGTCTCACACAGTACCGCAGGGGGTGGACAATGACTAAGTACCTGTAAATAGACAAATACAAGAACAAAAAATAAAAGTAATAAGAAAGAAGAAAATGAAACTTTTTATCAGAAGATTCTTCAATAGAATAAGTGATGGTCAGTAAAAGTCCAGACATAAACACTACAGTGGAGACCAGTCTGAGTTTTTATGGGGCAAAGAGTTAACAGCTCATCCCTGTCAAGCAGGTGAAGTTAAAGCCTGAAGTGGTAACGAGCTTCACCTACTGTCTGAAAAACACAGACCTACATCATTACACACAAAATGGGCTGATTGGTCCTTACCTTTCCATGGCGAGAGCCACCATGAATCCAACACTGGCCAGCACAGCACTTTGGTGAACCTCAGAAGAGATCCTTCCACCATTCAAACTCAGTGAGGGCACCTCCCATGAGATCATGCAGCAGAGTTGAATGAGGTCAGAAACAAGGAGGTTGATGATGTAGATTGGAGCAACATGATCACTTCGTACCTGCAGGAAAGAAAGTTTCAGGGAGGCATCCTGATTAGATGCCCAAGCCACCTTGTCTGACTCCTTTCAACGCAGGAAAGCAGACCCCAAGATACTTGAACTCCTCCTCGTTGGTCAGGATCTCAGCTCTGGCCCAGAGAGGGCACTCCACCATTGTCTGGCTGAGAACCATGGGCTCAGATTTGGAGGTGCTGATTCTTATCCAAGCTGCTTCACACTCAGCTACGAACTGATCCAGTGAGAGCTGAAGGTCATGGCCTGATGAAGCAAACAGGACTACATCATCTGCAAAAAAAAAAAGTGACCCAAACCTGAAGCCACCAAACCCGACCCTCTCATTGCCCTGGCTGCACCTACAAATTATGCCCATAAAAGTTATGAACAGAATCAGTGACAAAGGGCAGCCCTGGCAGAGTCCAACCCTCACCGGTAACGAGTCCGACTTACTACTGCCTATGCAGACCAAGCTCTGGCACTGGTTGTACAGGGAATGAACAGCCCTTGTCAGGGTGTCTGGTACCCCATACTCCACAATCACCTCCCACGGGATTCCCTGAGGGACACGGACAAATGCCTTCTCCAAGTCCACAAAATACACGTGAACTGGTTGGGCAAACTCCCTTGCACCCTCAAGGATCCTGCTGAGAGTGTAAAGCTGGTCCACAGTTCCACAACCAGGGTGAAAACCGCATTGCTCCTCCTGAATCTGAGGTCTGACTATCTGGCGGACCTTCCTCTCCAGGACGCTGAATAGACCTTTCCAGGGAGACTGAGGAGTGTGATCCCCCTATAGTCGGAACACACCTTGCAATCCCCGTTCTTAAGATGGGAGATCATCACCCTGGTTCGCCAATCCAGAGGCACTGCCCCCAATGTCCAAGCAATGTTGCAGAGCTGTGTCAACCAGCACAGCCCCACAACATCCAGGGCCTTGAGGAATTCAGGGAGGATCTCACCCACCCCTGGGGCCTTGCCACCGAGGAGCTAATTAACCACCTCGGCAACCTCAGCCCCAGAGATAGAAGAACTCACATCTGAGTCCCCCAGCTCTGTTTTCTCCCTGGAAGGCATGTTGGTGGGATTGAGGAGGTCTTCAAAGTATTTTTTCCACCAATCAACAACGTCCAGAGTCAAGGTCAGCAGTGCACCATCCCCACCATACAGAGTGTTGACAATGCACTGCCTCCCCCTCCTGAGGTGCTGGATGGTGGTCCAGAACCTCTTCAAAGCCATCCTGAAGTTGTTCCTTATGGCCTCACTGAACTCCTCCCATGCCCAGGTTTTTGCCTCAGTGACCGAAGTCGCATTCTGCTTGGCCTGCTGGTACATATAAGCTGCCTCCAGAGACCCACAGGCAAAAGGCCTGATAGGACTCCTTCCTCAGCCTGATGGGATCCCTCATCACTGTTGTCCACCAACGGGATCTGGTATTACTGCCACAACAGGCACTGACCACCTTATGGCCACAGCTCCGATCAGCTGACTCCCCCAGGACATGGTTGAAGCTCTCCAGGAGGTGGGAGTTGAAACTCTTTCTGATGGGAGACTCTGCCAGACGTTCCCAGCAGACCCTCACATTGCATTTGGGTCTTCCAGGTCTGACTGGCATAATCCCCCACCATTGTAGCCAGCTCTCCGCCAGGTGGTGATCAGTTGACAGCTCCTCCCCTTTCTTCACCACAGTGTCCAAGACAAGTGGCCTAAAGTCTGACGATATGACCAAAAAAACGAGCATAGAACTGCAGCCCAGGGTGTCCTGGTGCCAAGTGCACATGTAAACACCTTTGTGTTTGAACATGGTGTTTGTTATGCACGATCTGCGACAAGCACAGAAATCCAATAACATAGCACCACTTGGATTCAAATCAGGGGGGGGCCATTCCTCCCAATCACACCCCTCCAGGTCTCACTGTCATTGCCAACACAGGTGTTGAAGTCCCCCAGCAGAACCAGGGAGTCCCTCAAAGGAGCACTCTCCAGTACCCCTTCCATTAACTCCAAGAAGGGTGAATACTTTGAGCTGCAGTTTGAAGCATAGGCACAAAAAACAGTTGGAATCAGTCCCCCACCCAAAGGTGAGGGGAGGCTACCCTCCCATCCACCTGGGTGAACCCCAACATGCAGGCACAGAGCCAGTGAGCAATAAGTAGTGTCACCCCTGCCTGGAGCCTTTCACCAGTAGCCACTCCAGAGTAGAAGAGAGTCCAGCCCCTGTCAAGAGGGCTGGTTCCAGAGCCCACACTATGTGTTGAGGTGAGTCTGACTCTATCTAGACAGAACTCTCCACCTCGCACAACAGCTCAGGCTCCTTCCCCACCAGAGAGGCGACATTTCATGTCCCTAGAACTAGCCTCTGCAGCCGAGGATTGGACTGCCAAGGTTTCCGCCTTCGGCTGCTGCATAACTCACATTATAAACACTGTTTTCAAAGTAAGAATTAGTGTGTGAAACTTAAATATAGTTTTGATCATTCAGTTTTAATCATTACTTTTAATTTCTCACTCTTAAATATATTTTTAGAAGTTTAGGTCTTATTTTTTCCCCCTACCTTTAAAAAGTTACCCAGCATAAAGATCTGTAGGAACATTTCCGCTCTACCTTGTCTTAAAACAGCATTTCTTACCTGCGTATATTGATTCGTAAAGTATGGGTGTTAGATTGTGTGTGTGTGTGTGTGTGTGTGTGTGTGTGTGTATGTATTTGTATGTATATATATATATGTGTGTGTGTATGTATGTATGTATGTATATATGTATGTATGTATATACACACACATATATATGTATATATATATATATATATATATATATATATATATATATATATATATTATTATTATTATTATTATCATATATATTTCATTGTAATCCAATTAAGATTTATTTTTTTATTTTTTATTTTTTAATTCTCTATTATATATTCTTTCCCCCTCCCCTCCCTCACAAAAGTATTTTTGTTAATTTTTTTTTTTCTTTTTTTTTGTTGTTGTTGTTTTTGTTGTTGTTGTTACTCTGTTTTGTTGTTACAAAAAACAAACAAAAAATCAGTTTGAACGAGAAAAAAAAAAATTGCACATAGAGATTTTGGCAAATATGATGTTGCATTTGAGGTCCCACAAAAATAAAATTGAAGTTTGTTTTCTAAAAAAAAAAAAAAAAAAAAAAGTATGGGTGTTAAACTTAATCCTGCATGTTTTACAGTTTTTATACATTGGTAACTGTAAAAGCCATGCCCCCCAAGCCAGATCAGGGTCAATAGTTTAAAACTAAGAAAATACTGAGAACTGAAAGTGAAAAAAGTTTAAATAGGAGAAAAAAATTCAAAAACCTGAAAACATGATTTGGATGTGGAAGAAAAAAGATCCTGATCTGAGAACATTAAACCTGCAACTTTAAGTACTAAAGTTTAAAAAATATTTTTAAGAGAGAAAAATAAAAATAAATGATTTTATCAAAAGAATTCCAGAGCTGAATTAAAACTTTAAGTTGAAAAAAAAAAAACTTCAATACACTTACTTTTATTTTGAAAACCTTGTTTGTAATATTTTCAAAACAAGATCAAACCTCAAACTTTCAGTTTTTTAATTTTATTGTTTAAATCACTTTTTCGTCAAATTAACAAACCTTTTGACCTGGAATTAGCTCCATACCACACCTGTTTCACTGGTCAATCACTGTCATCAGTTACTGTGGTGATGTATTGTAGTTAGTCACTGTGGTCAGTCACTGGTAAGTCACTGGTCAGTCACTGTGGTCAGTTACTTTGGTCAGTGACTGTGGTCAGTTACTTCTGTTGGTTACTGTGGCTAGTCACTGTTGTCGGTTACTGTCCTTAGACACTATGGTCAGTTTCTGTTGTCAGTCACTATGGTCAGTTACTTCTGTCGGTTACCATGGTCAGTTTCTGTGGTCATTAACTGTGGTAGGAGGATTTGGACTTTAGGATGGTCTGATCTGATGCTGCTATACAGTCCATTGACTCAAAAGGTTAGATCAGGTACCACACTGGTCTGCCCCTCAGCACTGTTATGAATAGATCTCTGGTGCGGCAGATCTATTTCTAAACCTATGGACCATGAGTCCATACTGTGTCATCAGCAAATCAGTGGGTCATTTTGCCCGATGCAGAGCCAAAGCAGGAGGAGAAGCTGACTTGGAGGGTCCAACAGTTTGAAGGTATTTCATGTTTGTAAAGACAGGGCAGAGCCCGTCAGTGATCAATTCAGGAACCTGGCCCCAACTTTGGAGGATTTGGGGTCATTTTTCCCCATGTACAGGTTTCATCTCTATGGCAGGTAGACGTAATATTTTTAAAGTAGACATTTCAATGAAACATGTCAAATCAAAAAAGGACAGTTTCTTCCATCATATGATTTTATCTAGAGCTCGATACCCAAAAAAGTCCTGACTCTTAACTGAGTCTGCCGGGCTCCATCAGAGGCCAAAATCCAGATGACTGAACTCATTTAAACCCTGCAGTCCTAATAATAAAAACAATAATAATAATTATAGTAATAATAATAATAGTAATAACTAGAAAAGCACTCGGAGAGCGCAGACCTCCGCCAAGCAGCTCATGTCCCCCCTTATATTGTGATTCACACCAAAACTTTTACTGTTACGTGTCTTTTATCAACCTTTATTTGTGTTGAAACTGGTACGTTCACTGTTCATAATGTTCCTAAAACAACAAAGCTCATATTAGATACATAAATGCATGATTTATTATGCAATATTTGTAAGCATACACTTCCTTGTATCTTCATTGGTTATCTTTCCATTTTCATTTTCTATCGTTTATTCCCGTTCCTGGAGTCGCGGGGGGGCTGGAGCCTATCCCAGCATCTTCGGGTGAAGGCAGGGGACACCCTGGACCAGTCGCCAGGCTGACATATAGAGACGAACAACCATCCACACCTATGGGCAATTTGGAAGTGGCCAATTAACCTAACCCCACTTAGGCATGTTTTTGGGATGTGGGAGTAAACCGGAGTATCCGGAGTAAACCCACGCAGACACAGGGAGAACATGCAAACTCCAAACAGAAATTCCCTGACCCGGGTTCGAACCCAGGACCTTCTTGCTGTGAGGCGACAGTGCTAACCACTACACCACTGTGCCGCCCATCTACACCACTGTGCCGCCCATTGGTTATCTCTCAGCATTGAAAATTCCAATGACACCCTTATTTTTGTGTGTTCTGGATCACAGTATCCAGAATTTTTTCTGGATCAGGATCAACCTTTGACACCTCATAAAACTCATTGAGATCCTTTTGTGTAATTTTTTACTAAAGACTTTGGCCACCCTATCTCACAATGATAAAGAATCCTTCAAAAAATTTCTGGATCCAGAAGGTGATCTGGATCACCACCAAAATGTAATGGGATCCTCCTGGGGCTGAGATGCACCTCTGGTGAAAATTTCAGGTCAGTCCGTCTGTAACTTTCTCCATAAAGTTGCTAACAGACAATAACAAACAAACAAACAAACAGACAAACAAACAAACGCTACCAAAAATATAACCTCCTTGGCGGAGGTAATAATGAAGCAGTACAGCTTAGACACATGATACCACAGACACAGACTGACATGAAGATCACATGAATATATTCAATGATAATTAACTTACCATAAAATACACAGAGTACACGGCCATGAGGATCAGAGGAATGCCAATGGAAGCAACAGTGTATGTCACCGCACGCGTGACATAATTAGTGTACGAAAGATAATATGATGGCTGTCTTCTGTCCCACAGGTTCCACAACTTTCGGGGGCGGGTGGCGAGGAACTTCTGTAGGGCGTAGACAGTCTGGTTGGTACCGTTGGTGAAAGCGTTCTCCATTCCTCCAGTCTATGGTTAAGAGATCAGTGCTTATAACAGAAAAACAGGTCCTGAGGGGAAAGCTGACTAAGAATGGACTCCTTATCAGGGTCTTATTCACAAAGCAGCTGTAAAAGCGTAAAAAACATACTAAAGTTCTGCATCCCTGCGCATTTTCTTCACTTGTACAGAGCTGCAGCATGCACATTCATCCTGACTGCAGTCTGTCTGTCCATCTGTCTGTCTGTCTGATTATCTGTTTGTCTGATAATCCGTCTGTCTGTCTGTCTGTCTGTCTGTCTGTCTGATTATCTGTCGGTCTGGCTTTGTGTATTCATTTCCATACAGTCACAACAAAAGAAGTTTTCTTCTCTCAGCACACGTCTCTGTAAATATGTCGTAGTGGTCAGCCACAAAGTTTGGAAAAGTCTCTATAAATATCCTCTGTGATGATTTATCCTGATAACATATGACCTAAAGGCCCAAACAGGAATACAAAGACAGGAGTTTCAGTCACCGATATATAGATATCACATCACTGTCTGATATTCAAATGAGCTCAGTGGATAAGAGAAAGTCAAAAATAGATCAGTAGTCAGCTACAGAAATTTGAACACAAACAACATGTCTCAATCTAAAGAGAGAGAAAAACCATAAAAACTCAGCTAATCTGGCGTTTGTGGTCATACTGAATTCAACCTTCAAATACATGGTTTCCTCTCATTAATAACTCTGTTATACCATAAGACTAAAAAGAAAGAAAAAGCCAAAACAAAACCAAAAAAAAAAAACATACAATCGATAAAATAAAACACAGAATTAAAAACCAACATTTCAGCTCCAACACTTTGAAATCTCCTACAGGGTTAGTGTTGGATTAATCTGCAGAGCAGTGACAAAATCTCTGAAAAAAAATAAGGATGCTTTTTTTACTGATGAAGAACAGTCGTCTTTTATTATTATATTACAGTTGAATTCATCCTTATTGATCAAAGTGTAACACTGTCCCGGTGAGTATGTTTCCAACATACCTCCACAAATATCATCACTTCAGAAGCAGTTTGTTAGACCAGCTACTTTGACATGAAGGTTCAAATCTTTCCTCAAACTGATGTATCATCATGTCTCAGGTTATTTAATGTTACTCGGTAAGTAACTCCTAGTTTCATAATTATCCAACCTGAACATATCCATCCTCCATTGTATAGATCATGAAATGTCAAATGTAGTTCTTTCATCTCATTGTGAATTCTGAGATATGAAAAAAATAAGATTCAGTATTTACCTTTGGGGACAGTCAGATTTGGCCTGATGGAGTCCCAGCTTCAGTGTTTGGTGTTGTGTCCTCTGCACCCAAACAGTGGACTGTAAATATGCTGAGTGATAACATCTAAGAGTGATAATAACCTACCAGCTCCTCTGAAGAGGAGAGACAATACTATCTATGTGTCAATATGTAAAGTACACCAGAACAATAGTGTCCGTGTGGTTTTGTTCCTGGGTAACTATAGTAGTGGATTAAAATACATCAGTTGTTTTATTCTGACTTTAATATGATTCTTCCAAATATGACTGTGTTTAAAGAGGAAATCTGCCAAACAAAGAAAACAAGGCAACAAGAACAGAAGGTCAGCTTGGTCATACTGTAGATTACAGTTGACAGCTCTCGCCAACGTCGGTTCAGGCCCTAATAACCATTTTTAGGGGGGCCAGTCTTTGATTTTCTTGAAGTAGAGCACCCTCTTATCTGTACTCAGTAAAATGAAGGGCCACTATGAAACAGATCGTTGTCTTTTCATTCATAACTCAATTGCAGTTTTGGTTAAGGTTCTGCTGAATCTGCGATAGATATAGTCCAATTTAATGAAATAATTTTGTGATATAGAGTATGGTTTAAAACTTTTAATTGGGCTGATGGACCGAGAATAATTTGTTCATTTTGCATCATGCTGACTCACACCACATAGCACAGTATGAAAGGTTAAAAGGCACTAGAGTTATCGCTCACTGGATGTAATAAAGTTTTAAGCTCAAATCAAGGAGCTCATTATGACATTACCCACAGAACAGATGTTTTTTCTTTGTGATGTTCAATTGAGTCACAATGTTTTAGAGAGATCCTGTCTTTTCTACAGTTGTGGTGAAAACTTTGTTCTCATTAGTCTCGCCAACTTTAGTATAATAAACAACAAACCTAACAGATGCAAGGTGGTTGTCCTCCTCCACTCAGCACCTGTCTGCCATATTTTTGGGTACTCTGTTTCACAAAACAAACACAGCCTCACTTCCAGACACATTTACTGTCTCAACATTTACCTGAGGGTGTCTAAACTACTCCAGCTCACTTGTGGAAACCAGCCACACTCAGACTGATGTGAGAGCAGGTGCTTCAGGGGGGCACAGCTGCTTTTTAATGGAGCTGCCAGTCCAAAGACCCCTAAGCCAAGTCATGGTTTTATTAAGTGCAAATGTCAACAAAAGGCTTGAAGCCAAAGCCACCATCACAAAAGGTTAATTTACAATATAAAAAATCCACTCAAACTTCCCGGCTGGTTAACAGAGTCCATCCGTCAGGCTAGTCTAAAAACACACAGCACACAGTACAAGACAATTGATTGACCAACCAGGGAGTAAGCTGACTAAAGAAGGAGGTACAACAAATGCTGCCATGGCAGAGATAGTAAATGTGAAGCATAAACTAGATAGATGTCTGAAATATAGAATCTACCAGTTGACACAAGGCAACAAGATGAGTGTTTACACAACCTTTTTAGTACAAAACACTGCAACTGAAATGACAAGAGTGGGCGATGAACAGTAAGTCTGTCAGGTGTCCTCAAAAATCACATCAGACCGCAAGAGATTTTATGTTACAAGAGTCAGGACTCCGACTGCTGAAGTAAAGAGTCTTTGTGTATGGTGTGATGTGTTCACCATATTGTTGAGTACCACACACGATAAATCCATCATCATTTCTCTTCATGTGTGGGATCTCAGACATTTCTAAAATCAGTTAAGAATCTAAAAATCCTATAACTTCTCATACAGTCTGCAAGGATTTCTTGAGATGTGAGGCCAACAACAACAACACCTGGTTCTCATGTAGTGTCTGATTTAAATGAACGACAAACACTGGATAGACCACCTTGCCATGTATGGTACAAACAGACATTGATAGCTGCAGAAAGGCCACAGGCTGAATCCTAAAGTCCAACTTGGATCGCATATTTTTTAATTTTATCTAGGGTGTTCTCAGTGGTCTTTAAATTGTGGTAATGAAGTTTTTAACCAAAATCACATTACGTGTGTCATCTTTGTAGCGATTTGAATTTATAATAAATGTCCCAAGATTAATAATTGATAACAATCTTAAATTATGACATTGATGCACTGGTTGAAAGGGGCACCACCCACCTTTAATGGTGCAAAACTAAAGAAAAACAAAGGTTCAATTCAGAAATCAAACATTATGTTAATCTTAAATCAATTTTAAATCAATCTCATATCTCAAGCCGAAATTCTCATTTCAGGGACTCCACTTCTGAAAGAACATGAACAGACTTAAAAAAAATAAATGATTGGTTTTGTCAGAAAAATTTAACTGCATCTGACTTGCAGCCAGCTGAGAAGAACGACAGAGATAGTGGACTTCTTTTTCTTCGATATCTTTTACTTACAGCTTACAACAAAGGCAACTTCCTCTGACTGAGGAATTCAGATTTTTACACATCCTTTATGCAGTCAAGAAACCGCCCACTAACATCATCTCACAAGTGGCACGACATTATAACAGTATCTTAATAGGGTACAGGTTGCAGCTGTAGTCTGTACTGGGAGTACAAAGACAGCTTAGTTCATCATCAGGTTCCTGCTTATCAGTTCAATGTCACACTGTTGGGAAAACAACCTTTGAGTGAAATTATAGCATTCATCTAGTTGAATGGCTTCAGCGGAAAAGTATCAGTCCCAACTCCAAGGCCATACTTCTCCTTTCCCATGCTCATTAAAAAGACACAAATATGACTCTGCAAGCATTCACACCAAGTGATTTTCAGTAAATGATGATTAACATACTTATATAATGATAAAATACACATGTGATAGCATACACATACAATTTTTCTTTCAGGTTTATTACAGGATAAAAGACGGTACAACATACAGTACATGCAATAAATGATAAGATAATGAGGATAAATGACAATTGATAATTTAAAGATTCTAAGTCAGGTAATGATTACTAACGTTATTAATAGTGAGTGAATATGCTCTAACATATTAACCTACATTAACTTTGGTTTAGAGATAAATTTGGATGTGGATTTGGATGAATTTAGGATTACTCGAATTAGTGATTGATTGAATCATGAGACAGCATCAGCCCTGTTTGGAACTAGGTTTGCATTCCTAAATGAGGCTGGTCCTCGGAGAGGATGGAGCAGGTTCACTGATGGTCCGGGCTACCAGTGGTATGAGGGGTTCGGCTCAGCAGAGGACTGAAGTCAGCGGAAAGGTCTCGCCGCAAGACTCTGGCTTACAGGATGACTTTGAGCCCGCCGTGTTCAGTCTAGATGGAAACAGGCAACTTGTATTTCATGCTGTATCACAGTTAAATTCCAAAAGGTGGAAAACCTTGAAGAGCTTGGAAAATGTCAGCCAAAAAAAAGACAAAAAGCATCTGCATATCTCTTCTCTTTTGTACCTCACATGAGCAGCCGCTGACCTTCTCAGACAGGCAGCCTTCTGCATTGTGAGCAGAGCAAAGACACCTGTATAGTCATCTGAGTCCAAGTGCTGAGGCAGACTTTGTGGAGGTGGGAAAAGAAACGCTGCATTATGTATCCTCTTCATCCCAGCCGCATACACCTGCAGAGTGAAGAGCATGGCCCTTTCCACTGCAGAGCACAGTGATATTTAAGACTCATTCATAGCAGTAGTCCGAAACACAAACCATCTGCAAACAGCTTTTTGTGGTCCATACAAACATCAAGCTGGAGGTGTTTGAAAACTGTATTTTACTT